TCAACTTTCGATGGTAGGATAGAGGCCTACCATGGTGATGACGGGTAACGGGGAATAAGGGTTCGATTCCGGAGAGAGGGCCTGAGAAACGGCCCTCAAATCTAAGGATTGCAGCAGGCGCGCAAATTACCCAATCCTGACATGGGGAGGTAGTGACAATAAATAACAATGTAGGGCTCTTTTGGGTCTTACAATTGGAATGAGTACAATTTAAATCTCTTAACGAGGATCAATTGGAGGGCAAGTCTGGTGCCAGCAGCCGCGGTAATTCCAGCTCCAATAGCGTATATTAAGATATATATATGCAAGTGGTGACTGAGAAGTGTGCAAAATGCGGGTCTAGGTGTATCTCTAGCCGGGTTTCGAGGGAGTAATATTGGTGTTAAGTCATTACAATCGGGGAGCGTTAGCCACCTTTTGTTGGACTGAATGTTTCAGATGATCGCGGAGCTTTGGCCAGCCTTTATTGGAAGCAGACATTGGTATTACTGGTTGGAATTGTGGGATGTAGCACTGGTACTGGGATTAGCTGGAGACGGTATTCAGTTACTGTCGACGGCGAAACTAAGTGCTGGTGTTACTAAAAAGATGAAAACTATAACTTTCTTCATTGATCGTTATAGTTTTCATTTTTTTAAGAATTTTTTCTATGATAGAGTAATCACCTAGACCCCGGGTCACTTTAGTTCTGCAACGCAGCATGACCTTTTCAAAAATGACCAATGTCCCAATATTTCTAGCTCAGAGTGCACAGTTAGAACACAGTCACACGGAGTGACGAGTGATGATGCTTCATATGCTTGTTGATCTATGGCCATGAGTACTCTCCGGAGGAAAATGGTCAGCCCACATCATCTTTGGCTTAGCACATCTCTTTCAGGTAGAGGAGATAGTCATGTATTTGACGAATGATGGTTGCTTTAGCGCTTGGTGACCTTTGGATCAAGAAATTGAACCAACCCACGTCATTATGGCCTTGCACATCATTTACATTAGAGGTAAGCAGACGAGCAGAACACCGAGGTAAGTAGCAGAGCATAAAACAGAACTTTTTGGATGTTGGTTGGAAACCCTGACATGGTATCTAAATTAATGAATTTGGATTGAGATTTGTCACAAGCTGGAGCAGTACCTCGTCGCGGTCCTCCCTCGGGCTCTTAATTGAGTGCCAAACTGCTTTTAGCGCCGAAAAAAACCAGGATACTTTACAGTTCCTACCCAATCAGGATACTTTACAGTTCCTACCCCATAAACCGAGGATTCAGTTCCTTAAAGACTCACGTGTGGGGCGTACCAACAGAGCCCACATATACCAGAAAGGTCAGGTTCAAGTTTATCGATGATCCTCAACAAGGGTTGAAGGAGATACAAATGTTCCTGAATAAGTATGGTATGCGATTAAAAGTCGTAACCCCCTAAACTCTATATTGGAACAGTAGGTAAAAAGCTTGTTAATGATGGTCAACTCCAGAGTTGTACTTAGACAACACCTACTTACTACAATACGGAGTTTAGTTTTTTATTACTATGTTATGAAGTTACTTCATGATGAAAAATTACAAGTCCTAGACTTAACAACAACATGTTCAAATTACTTTGAAACTATTGTATCAGAACACCAGGTAAAAGCCCATTGAACATAGCCAACCAAGGGGTTGAAGCTTAGATGGCACCTGATTACTATGATATGAGCCCAACATGTCATTTGCTCACACAAATGATCAAATTAATTACATGTCAGAGAACTAAATTCTTTGGAACAAATGCAAAGGGACTTTCCCACAAAATAAACATACAAAGAACAAGAGCTGAGAAAAGGTCTCAGATTCCAATGAAAATTAAGCTGAACAAAGCTATTGTGTCAGAAAACCAGGTAAAAGTTTGTCAAAAATAGCCAACTATGGAGTTGAAGTTTAGACAACACCTGATTAGTATGACATTAGACAGAAAGATTATTTGCGCACGCAAATAATCAATTTAATTGCATGTCAGAGGATGAAAAATCTTAGACCTTGCAAAAATGAGACAATCAGAACAGATTGAAAAATGAAACAATCAGACCAGATTGATGAAATAGTCAGAGAAAAATATTCTTTGGAGGTAACTACAAAGGGATTCGCCCTGAAAACAAAAATATACAAATGAAATCTGGGAGAAAATTCCCAGAATTCATAAATAACAAAGCTGAGTAACGCTATTGTGTCAGAAAGACAGGTAAAAGTTTGTCAAAAATAGCCAACTAGGGAGTTGAAGCTTAGACAGCGCCTGATCAGTATGACATGAGACAGAAAGATTATTTGCGTACGCAAATAATTAATTTAATTGCATGTCAGAGGATAAAATATCTTGGACCTAGCAAAAATGAAACAATCAGACCAGATTGATAAAATAGTCAGAGAAAAATATTCTTTGGAGGTAACTACAAAGGGATTCGCCCTGAAAACAAAAATATACAAATGAAATCTGGGAGAAAATTCTCAGAATTCATAAATAACAAAGCTGAGTAACGCTATTGTGTCAGAAAGACAGGTAAAAGTTTGTCAAAAATAGCCAACTAGGGAGTTGAAGCTTAGACAGCGCCTGATAAATATGACATGAGACAGAAAGATTATTTGCGTACGCAAATAATCAATTTAATTGCATGTCAGAGGATAAAATAGCTTGGGCCTAGCAAAAATGATACAATCAGAACAGATTGATAAAATAGTCAGAGAAAAATATTCTTTGCAGAACCTCAAAGGGACCAGCCCTGAAAACAAAATAATAACAAGTGAGGTCTAAGTAATTATTCTCAGACCCCACCAAAATGAAGCTGACTGAAGCTATTGTGTCAGAAAATCAGGTAAAAGACTGTCAGAAATAGCCAACTGCGGAGTTGAAGCTTAGACAGCGCCAGATCAGAATGACATGAGACAGAAAGGTTATTTGTGTACGCAAATAACCATAAATATTTACATGTCAGAGGACAAAATATTGTTGACCTTGCAAAAATGAATCAATCAGAAAAAATTGATGAAATAGAAAGAAAAATATTCTTTGAAAGAATTGCAAAGGGACTTACCCTGGAAACAAGGATATAAAGAATGATATCTGAGTAAATATTCTCAATCATCACAAAATGAAGCTGACTAAAGCTATTGTGTCCAAAAACCAGGTAAAAGTTTGTCAAAAATAGCCAACTGCGGGGTTGAAGCTTAGGCAACACCTGATTAGTATGACACGAGACAGAAAGATTATTTGCGTGAGCAAATAATCAATTTATTTGCATGTCAGAAGATAAAATATCTTGGACTTTGCAAGAATGAAACAATCAGGACAGATTGATAGAACAGTCAAAGATAAGCTTTTCTTTGGAAGTAACTGCAAAGGGACTTGCCCTGAAAACAAAAGTATAAAGAATGATGTCTGAGTAAATATTCTCAGATCCCACAAATTTGAGACTGATTGAAGCTATTGTGTAAGAGGATCAGGCAAAAGACTGTCTGAAATAGCCAACTACGGAGTTGAAGCTTAGACAACACCTGATTAGTACGACATAAGACAGAAAGATTATTTGCGTAAGCAAATAATCAATTTATTTGCATGTCAGAAGATAAAATATCTTGGACTTTGCAAGAATGAAACAATCAGGACAGATTGATAGAACAGTCAAAGATAAGCTTTTCTTTGGAAGTAACTGCAAAGGGACTTGCCCTGAAAACAAAAGTATAAAGAATGATGTCTGAGTAAATATTCTCAGATCCCACAAATTTGAGGCTGATTGAAGCTATTGTGTCAGAGGATCAGGCAAAAGACTGTCTGAAATAGCCAACTACGGAGTTGAAGCTTAGACAACACCTGATTAGTATGACATAAGACAGAAAGATTATTTGCGTAAGCAAATAATCAATTTATTTGCATGTCAGAAGATAAAATATTTTAGACTTTGTAGAAATAAACAACCAAGGGGTTGAAGCTTAGATAACACCTGACTACCATGATATGAAACCAACATGTCATTTGCTCACGCAAATAATCAAATTAAATATCTGTCAAAGGAATGAATTCTTTGAAACAAATACAAAAGGGCCCTCCCTGAGAACAATCATACAAAAACAAATACCAAGTAGGTATTCCCAGACTCCGTCAAAAATGAAGCTGAATAAAGCTACTGTGTCAGAAAACCAGGTAAAAAGCTTGTCAAAAATGGCCAACTACGGAATTAAAGCTCAGACAACCACCTGATTGGTAAAATATGAGACAGAGAGATGACTTGTGTACAACAAGTAATCAATTCAATTGCATGTAAGAAGATAAAAGAAAAACGCTGAGAATAATCAGCCGCAGATCTTATACACCAAACCCAATGATAAAATGATGATACCTACAACGCATATCTTGAACATACGCAAGAATACAAAGTAATAGTCCATCACAATGGCCACAATTACAAATTGAAGACCTACAAGGTCTGACATCTGTCCCTATACATGCCACTATGCCCCTATGCCCCTATGCCCCTCCTTGGGATACTGCCTGCACATATATGAACATAGGGACCATATATGTGCACCACAGTTATACCAAGCATCCAAAAACACCAGAGACCAACCTCTGGGCTCTAAAAACAAAAATAAGAATCTAAAATGGTTCACCAACAAAGGTATATATACCCGCCACCCAACAATTGGAAGTACAAATAACATGTCCTGAAGAACATACCAAAAAAAAAAAAAAATTAATTAATTACCTCTTGAATTATAAACAAGTGAAGTACACGAGGATAAGACGAGGTCTTGTTCAAGGACATCAGGAACACCTGACCAAGCTTTGAGTTAACATCTTCAGAAAACTCAAAGGACACTGCGTCAAACAACCACCCCTTGAAAATTGCAAAAAGCAATTGTCCAATAAAACAGAATAATGAAAACAACCATGGAAGAGTATCCCTGGACTAAAACTCCAGACAGTTGGTGCTCCCAAAAAAAAAAAAAAAAAAAAAAAAAAATAAAAACACCAAATCAAATTCTGAATGAACCTTCTCAGATTCCAACAAAATAGAAATCAAAACAAAAAGATGTTGTATTAGAAAGGCTGGTGAAAACCTGTAAAGAATAGCCAAACACGAAAATGAAACTCAGCCAATACGTTGCCCACACAAATAGCCAACACACTTTGTCTACATCAGAAGACAGGATCAGTGGACAATTCTCCTGACAAGTGACAACAAACAAATCACCAGAAACACGCCAGGGAACAAATGAAATTGTAACTTGCTGACAAACCACCAACCTTACAATCATAATAACAAACACAAACTATAACAGGAGAACAACCTGCACAAATTAAATACCAACAATAAAAAGTGGAAAACACTCCACAGATACCAAACATGTGTCTGTAAATGAAAGTAAAAATATACAATCTAAAGTGACAGTAACAAATGAACCAGGACACAGGTACTCTTACATTGTAAAAAAATAAGATAATGTGATCCTGGGGTGTGTACACACAAACACCTCACCAACTGATATATATCAATAATACACAGTCAAAAAGTGTGAGATCATTTGAAATGTACATGTAATTTGCCCTTACAAACGCCCAAATGATTACACCAAAATCTGACAACACAAAGACCAAAACCACAACAAATACCCAAACATAATAAGGAAATGAGTAGAAGTACTACACATGGAGAAAGTATGTTAATATACACATGAGCAATGGAAGAAAGTACAGAATTATAATAATAATGTTCATAAACATAAAGCACAAAACACTTAAACAAAATTGTAAATATGCAAAAGCCCCAAACTCACCCAAAGATCAATATTGGCACCTCCTTTACCACATTGTACAAATCAAACTTCCCAGACGTACAAAATCTCCTGTACCACACACACAATCTACCCAAACCACATAACCAATAAACAGGATGTTTACAAAACCATAACTTATAATCCCACATTATAAACACAATAAGAAATGAACACAATTACATGTTAATACATGTAAACATTTTGAGAAAATGATATGTAACCCATCAAACCAGTTCCAACACAAACAAAGATCACATGTAATCATAGAATAAGTGGGGAAAAAACCTTGTGAAATCTCATTATAAGTACACAAAACATAATGGTCTATGACCCACGGTAAATTACACATACACAAGGACATAGGAATGATACAACACATAACAGAAAATTTACATGTTACTACATATGAAAATTAAGAGAAAATGATAGGTAAACCCAAATAACAACCCCACCTGAGACATTAATTACATATAACTATGAGAAAAATTGAGAAAAAACCATGTGTAACCCCAACCAGATACATATAATTACATGTACTACAAACCATAGTATGCACAAAGCGTGGTTCGAACCCAGGCAAAACCGGCCCTGGTCCTATAAACAGGGCGCAGACAGGAAAAAACCATAACCATACATATATAAACCCATAAGGCCCAAAGCCCGGGCAATTACATATACAACGGGGCCAATGGGACCGATACAGTACTTTTTATATGCATTAGGGTTACTAAACCTAATAAAAACAAAACATCACCAGTTGAAACCTATCAACCGGTACCGAATACGCCCACAGGGCTTTCCAAACTGTCTAATACATGATATCGGGGCCCACGCCCCGCTGAGTAAGCCTCCAAAGCCACTACCTGACCGCTGGACCCCACCCAGCCACCTCCACATCACCTCACACAAAACCACACGATATCGAACAACCGATTACAATCTTCACAACGTCAAAGCTCATAATCACCACAAGATACCTGAGCTGAGAGATCAATTTAACTTGAATCCGATTGAATCCCCATCTATTTAAAAATCAGAAATCGAATAATTGAACTATATCAGTCCCATCGAACGATTATCATCCTCAATAATCAACAACAAGAATTAAGAAAGATAGAACTCACTCTTCATTTATCATAACACCTAAACAAATTAGAACAGATCATGATTGAATAAGCTCATATTAGTTCAATACCTCAAATCAGACCTATCGATTTAAAATCAACTGACACAATATCAAATCAACCTGGATTAAGCTTATGAATGATTGAACTCTTATTGAATCAATACTTCAAATTGATCCTTTCAATTTAAATCAAATCATCAAAGATCTTAAAAAAAAAGAACATCAAAACATTGAATAATTGAATACCCACGAGCTATTCTTCAAAATCGAATCATATCACAATTGAACTTTCATCTAAAAAGAAGAACCCTCAGACTCATAAAAACTCAACTGCATGCGAATTGAAAAGACTACGATGATACTCTCATTCATCCCCACCCTGATTACTCACCCGAGCGATTTGAAGTACTCAGTATCCTCTAATCAACCGAGGATAGGCTATAAAGACCAATACCACGTCAGTACCAAATATCCCCACCCTAATTGATTCAATCAACAAAAGCAAAGATAGTTATCTGACTCACATTCCTTTAATTCTCTCTACGCACCCTTTAATTCACACATTAATACTATACCTTTAAACGCTCATTTATCTTGAACAATTCATCTTAAATCAAACAAACACACCCTCTCGATTCATCTTAATCTTTTTGCTACTCATCGAATCTCCATAGCTACTCACCTCAGAGTCAAAATACATCTACATAGACATAAAACTATTAAAGTAAGCTAATAACTCACTGTACATAAATGAAAGCACGATCAGGATCACTGACCAATGCTTAAAATATCTTGTTTAATTATGTAGGTCTTCTCTATCACCAGTTCGATACTTTGACCGAAGGCGCATCTCTAGTATATCCAAAACAAACAAAAGGTAAGCTTTCCTTTTAACTACAAACTGTCACCAGTTCGATACTTTGACCGAAGGCGCATCTCTAGTATATCCAAAACAAACAAAAGATCCTATTCAATGGCTCCTCTTACTCCTTCTTCAACGAAAGGCTCGAACAAAAAGACTAAGTCTAGCGCTAGCAAGAAGCTCATCGAACAGGCAACTCCGCTCCTCGAACGTCGCCTATCTAAAGGAAGCAAACCCCGTACATCTCTTCTGTCTAATGAAATCAACCCTCAGGATCAGATATCACATCAATCTTCATTTAATAACTTAGAAGATGAAGAAATGGACTTAACTTCAACTGAACCCATCAATTTAAATCAGAGTACCATTATTAATCCTTCTACTAGTTCGAACGAAACACAAACCACTCTTACAACTGAAAATCACTCTGAAACTGAAGAAGCCCCTGATCCTAACGAATCGAATCAATCTAAGGCAGCTCTTGCCAATCCTGATCTTGAAAAAGAAGACGAGGAAGACTCATCAGATGAAGATGAACGAAATGAAGAAACTTTGAAGAAGGTAACGATTCAGCCTAGTATTGTAGATCATGCTTCAGGTACTGAGATCATAGGAGGTCACATCATGACTCCTGCTACCTCTGAGATGCACATATCAGCTTATCGTAAGTCTTTCTGTTTAAGAAACTTAAGAAAAACAAGAAACTAACTTAAAATAACTTGTACTTTACAATAGCACGGCCAGGTGAACTTGAACTGTTCACCATCAACCCTCTCCTACAACCTCGTCGACCTGGCTTTGCTCCCACTGCCAACTTACCTTTCGAACTCCAACTTTGGTGGAACTTGTACTCCGAAACGCACGTCTCCGAGGCTGACATCTCTCTCTGGGCTATGGTCAAATTAATGAATGAAGGAAAAGGTGCTAACAGTTATGAAGCTGTCAAATCAAGTCTATCAAGTTCAGCTAGTTACCTCTCAACCATTGTAGGTCCTGGTCAATCAACCTTTGTTTTAATTCGATTCAAGAATGCTGGAGTCAAAGACACCTTTCGAAAGAACAACCGCCTCGATCGAGGAGTCTATGTAACCTTCAATGGACCAACTCGAGCTAGCTTTCTCATCTTTAACTTAGAACCTGTTTCGAAATTAACTCCGGTCATGAGCAGCTTGTTTGTAGCGATCACAGGACTTCCCTTTCATCTTCGTCATAAAAGTATTACTGAAGAGTTGTATAACGGTGTAGGAGCTCATCAATCAAACGACAATCTAAAGCTCACCTTCATTCGAGAACCCAACTCATCTCCAACTTATACCCTCAATGGGGGTAGGATCTTCGAGGTACACTTCGATCGAAGCGCTACAGCTCATTGGTTCAATATCTTATCTAAAGATAAAGGTTTTGTTATGATAACTCCCTGGAATCGAAAAGGAGACGAATACAAGCATCGTACAGCTATCACTCACTGGAAGTTCTTACCTACCTGTGCGACGTGTGGAACCTCATCTCATGATGGATCTCATAAAGTCAAATGTCCTTACGGTACCATTCGAGACGATCTCTTCCGCTCTGTTGAAGCCTCTTACGGGAATCGATCAAGCACTGCTATAGGGATTGAACAAAGCTCCCTTGGACCTGGATCCTCAACTTTCCAACCAAAAATGGCCAAGGCTAGTAAGTTTACTCGTCATGAATGATCTTAGAAGTTTCTCAAACATCAAAACCGTAAGTGTGATATCACAAAACATTCCTGTTGCATCTTTTCTTTGCTTATGAAAACTAAGAACTAACTTATTAAGTATTCCTACCCTAGTAAATTAACCAGTCCTTGTTCATTCTCTCTCTCCTATCCCCCTATGCGGATATGTTTCCTGCTCACTGGATGCAAATTAAGTATTCCTACCCTAGTAAATTAATCAGTCCTTGTTCATTCTCTCTCTCCTATCCCCCTATGCGGATATGTTTCCTTTGACTCAAAAAAACATTATAAAATTCACATAAAGCCTATAAAAAAGAAGTTGTTAGCCCTATAAACTTGTGTTTCTTAATTTAAAAAGACCATTCTTTATAAAACTTATGTTTCTAACTTGATAATAAGAACTCTTTGAAATGTTATACCTCCTTTGCTGCCTAAAGAAATAAACCTTGCCTAAAAATAAAATAAAATGAGAACTCTAACTCTGTTGAACATAAAACAACCAAAAGAAAAACTGAGCAACAAAGATTGAGAGAACTAAAACAACAACAAAGAAACAAGAAAAAAAGAAACATGAAGAAAACACAGTAAGATGAGAAACAAAAGTGAGTTCTGAGAAATCACCAGACAGTATTAAGATATGAATGTAGACAAATAAATTGATGGATATCTCCTCTACAAATGGAAGGATAAGATAAATTGGTAGAAGTAAAGATCACAGAAACTTTTAAGAAGAACAAGAAACAGCCTGAAGAAGAATCAGATACAAAACACAGAATACAAGATGAGAAATCATAAAATATATATATATATATATGTATGTACAACAAAAAGAACAATTTTTTCACTAAAGGAAACAGAACACAAACAAGAACAACTACCTAAAATCACTTTAAGAATGAAGACAATAATTGATGTAGTAAAGACAAGATCACCAGGATTATACAACAGAGGTAGCATTATGAAGCACAAAACACATAAAAAGTTCCCACAAAGGGTAAGCAAGGAGATGCACCAAAACACAAGAAAATGTGGGTGTCAAATATTCCCCAAGTTAGGTTGGTATAGATACACATAACTCACACGTACATATCTGCATCCCTAAGGAGGAAGAGAAATAGATTAATTAAGAAAGCGCAAACAAGTGCAGGACTAAAGGGGGAGCAATGTCCCAATAAAATAGTTGTAGGATCTCTGTAGGGTCTCAGACGGGAGGTACTTCAATCCTCTGATGAGATGTACACAAGTGACATTTCAGGGCCACCCGGGAGGGCCTTATCTCTTGGAACTCAAATGCAACTATGACGAATACACCTGTAAACTCAAGTTGTCCGGGATTGGGTGTAATGAGCCCCGGCTCCCTGTCAGTTGTGGAGGGACTGAACTTGTACAATGAATTTCCTCCGCCAGCAGTTGTCTGTCCGTCCAGGGGCGCTGTTGGGACTAAAGTTACTGTGGAAACCAACACTCCTTGCTCCCTGAAGGATGATGTGTTGGTCAATAATGTTACTTTGGGGGTTGATTCTTCTTTGGCGCCCCAGGAGGGAGGATCAACTAAAGCTACTGGCAAAACCAAATCTCGTTCTATAATGAATGAACTCACTTCTGATTCACGGCTATTACCGGAATCAAACTTAAAAACAACATCTAATGTTAAAACACCCACTTCCGCTAACCAGGAACAAAATACGGTTACAATTGACACAAATGCAATCCATCCAATGAGAATGCAAAACCAGAACAGAAAAGAAGAGACACTGATAAGAGGCGGTAGGACTTACCGCTCAACAAACATAAAAACAAAGTTAACCGGCAAACAACAACGTGAGCGCCGTGACAAAAACAAAATTGCCAAAGAGATATCAAACAGAAAACAAAAAAGGATAGACACCCTTTACGAGTGTAGAAAAATAAGACAAGGAAAAGCAAAAAGGCTTTATATTCAAAGTGATATTGGAAGAATTATCCGTCACACCGAACTTGATGACGAGATCTTGCATAATGACATAACCACAAATAGTCTGCACATACCTATTGCTGAGTCATCAAGGATGGCGCAGGAAAGACAAAGAGTGATGGAGAAACAACCATTAATCCCACGAGATAGACGTGATGGCGGAATGCTAACACGCAGAGAACTGCTTGAGAAACTTAACTTAAAGACTGTTAGGACCAGTGAAAACCAACGAACCCATTCTTACCAGTCCAAAGGCAAAGGACGTGAGATCAATGATAATACACTATCAGAAGAATACAATGATGAACAGATGCGCTTCAGTGAAGCAAATGGAAGTCAACAAGACATGGCCAATCCGATAAACAGATTGCTAAATCAGTCAACTTCACAAGAACTAGACATTGCCATGACAGACATAAATACTTTAAACACAAATGTGAAGGGAAAAGACAATATCCCCAATCACAACAATCCCCAGACTCAAATTCTTGAGAGCCGCGAAATTGAGATGAGTGAACCAGACCATCTCCCAACTAAGACATCACAACATAATGTCAACAAAACATTAATGCATAAAGACACCCCAACCTCAAATCATAGTCAAACATCATCAAGATATGATGAGAATGGAATGGACATTGATACACCTCCAGTATCACCAGAACCAAGCAATACACCTTCCTACGCAGACGTAGTACGGAAACATCATCCATCACCTATCGTGTCAACATTGACATGTAACAAAAATATGAGACAAACAATTATAAAAAATAACATCCAGAACTCTGTGAGAATGACCCTCAATAACACTGGCAACTGTACACCAGCAGATGTATGGATAATACTAAGACATAGACTCACATCAGCGCAATGCCAAGAAGTAGTAAGTGTTGTAAAAAGACGCAATATATTTCAGCAACCAGGATTTGACATATGTGTCACACCACACATCGCAATGGGCTTCACAAAAATGATGCAACTCACAAGTCAGGAGCGCTTTCATGGAACAAAAACCATATACTGCCGTAAGACAAAGAAACCCTGGAATAAAGGGGATGATAACACGCAATGCTTCAACATCAGAAAGTGGCGCATCAACTTATATAAAAAATACCGGGATGAATTACCCAGTTTTCAAAAACCAGTCCCAGAACCTCCCAAAGAGGACAAAGTAAGTGGAGGATACACATCCCTACTTGCGTGGAATGCCCAAGGCTTCAACACAAAAGCCACACAGTTAGAATCTCTAGCAGAACAAGTAACTGCAGGAGTCATAGTAGTTGGGGAAACCCGCAGAACTGAATGGCGATATGAGCCAAAAATTGAGGGATACAGAACATTTTCCCACCCTGCAACCACAGGCTTTTATGGACTGTGTATGATGGTCAGAAATGACATAGGCGCATATGAAAAACCTATGGAAGACCCAAGGATACAATATCTTGTTGTAACCAAACTTGAACCAAACAGCTTATGGCACATCTTTGGTGTATATTTACAGTCCGGATCAAATAAGAGACAACACCGGAAGACACAACTTAAGCCTGTATGGACTAAGATAAACAGTCTACTAGACAATGATGCAAATTGTAAGATAGCAATTGGAGGAGACTTCAACATGACCACCATTCAATTATCAAAAGAGGCCCTCAAGAAAACTGGAGGGCGTATGACCATCAAAGAATGTAGTGGGTCTAACCTGACCCGTCTACCAAACACAGGAAAGCCAAGTGACATTGATCATTGGCTAATATCACCTGCAGTGAAAGATATTACCTGCAAAGCAAAAGTCAGTAGACACATGGCCTTACAATATAAAGGCACAAGTGATCATGCGGCCATCAGTATGAAAATACGTAAAAATTTCACAGAATCTACTCCCCCAAAACTAAGATGGGACTTGAAAGCTATTAAAGGTCATGGAACAGATATCCTGACTGACGGAGCGTGGAAAACATTCCCATCATCAGGAACCCTGAATGAAAAAGCAGAATCATGGCGGTCAAACTTGGCAGAAGCCGCAATCAAATGGGGGGCTATCAAGCATGCAAAACCTCCCAGATCAACTCACTTTCCACGACAAGTGGCAAAACTAATAAAAAAGGCCAGGGCAACAAGGCTTGACTATACTGAAACACTCAATAAAGGCTGCTCACTAGAAGAGTTAACCAAAAGATCCAACTATGCTGACAAAGCAGAAAGACTTGCAAAGAAAGCAATTAAAAAATTTGAAACAGCTAGGGAGACCAAAAAGACTGCCCAAACAAATAAATATCTTGTAGAGAATGAGATGCTGGACTTTCACACAGCTATTAAAGCAGCCCTACCAGATCATCTTGGCAAAAAACAAAGCCAACCCATGCCATGCAAAGACAAAAGCGGAAACCTTTGCATTAATAACAAAGACATAGCACAAGCTGAATATGAACATTTTAGCACACTATCAAAAGATTCTACAGGAGTCTCTCAAGACCCAACTTTTTGGGAAAACCTGACCTGTGATGATGAACCCATCCAGGAGCTTGACATAGGAGGTGCAATCACCTCTCAAGAATTCCTCACTGCATGCAGCAGGATGAATAAAAATGCCGCCCGTGGGGAAGACAACATCCCACCAGTGATCTTTAAAGAAATTCTGAAATTAGAAAGAGCACAATATTTCATGGCAAGTAAAGCAGCCAAGAAAAACAAGCAACAAAAGAAGAGACCAAAACTCTCAATCATGCAATATGAAAGTCCTGAGAACAAAAAGGACGCATCCCTAGTCAAACACATAGAGATAGACCAACATACCCCCTGGGAATGGGACACAGCCCCAGAACTTACAAAACCAACCAAAACCCGGTTGAATACAAACCATGACACCTTTACAACACCCTCAGGAACATTCTATGACCCTCTAGACCATGTATATCAACCAGTACCCATAAGGGAAATGACCCAAGACCTGAAAACACCAGCTGGAAAGCAGGCACTCCAAATTCTCAACCAAATGTTTGAGGAAGGTACCCCCGCGGACATTGACTTCAAAAATGTGGTCATAT